GATGCGTAAAAATGGAACCTTCATGCATGTAAAGGTAAAAAGATGATAACCTAATGTTGGGTAATGCTTAACACACCTAGAAATGCATGTGTTAGTGTCTAAAATCGGTAAAAACCTAACCTTTGAAGGATATCTTCGCGAAATGCAGAAACTGCATTCTGTCGCGAAATATCCGGATATTTTCCCGTGAAATATCCGGATATTGATATCGGGATATGGGTATCCGGATATTGATATCCGGATATGGGGATCTGGATATCCGGATATTGATATCTGGATATTGCCAGAGAGATATATGGATATTGGATATCCGGATATGCCCCGAGGAATATCCGGATATGCCCCGAGCAATATCCGGATATTCTGGGATTTCGAAGAACAGTAGCTGTGTTGTGTGTACAGTAGGCTATTGGGGGTTTGTGGACCCTAGATTGATGAAGTTGAACTTCTGTAATTAATGAACTAAGTCAGAATCGTGTGATTAAGGGCTTGTGGCTTTGTTGGGAGTCTTAAGATGTAAATCGTTAAAGGAGAACGTGGTCTTTATGTTAATGCTTTTGAGCTATGTATGTTGATACACTTGCTGGTCCTAAATAAGATTGTGATCTGTTGTGTGTTGGACTTGAGCTGTGAGGACTCTTGGCATTGGATAGTGAGCTTGCAAGGTAAGCTTTCGTGTCCTCGATTTAGCCATGTTGTGGTTCCACGATGTCCCATAGGGGTATGGTTATATGCATGATGTGTTACATGCTTTTGATGTTTTGGAAATATTGTTGAGCTGTTATATGCTAGTGCCTTTATGATATGCATGTGGTGTTCCACCTATACGGTAAGCCTGAGTATGTGGTACATACAAGATGGTGAGGCTGTGGGTGAGGTGCAAGCGGTGTTCCTTGTACTACATGTAGGTATAGACGTATTCCTGCATTTCTCTGGCCAGTAGAATAGTGATAAACACACATGACATGAATATCTGTTGCACTGCATAGTTTTGGAACTGATATTTATATAAATGCTTTTAGAACTTATATTGCACATGTAAGTGAGCTTGGGGTGGAAGATCCTTGAGGACCCGGTGTCCTACTGAGATTTCTAATTTAGAGATCTCACCCCACATTTGGGGAATGCTTATTTCAGGATCAGGCAATGTTGGGGTTGAGACCTCAGGCGATAGGAGGCCGGAGCTGAGTTAGATATTGATGATATTATATGCTGACATGTTGGATGCTGGATATGCTTGCTGCTTTTCTGCTTTTAGCTTCATGTTATGATTTTGGATTATCTTGTTGAGACTCTGTCGTTTATGCTGTTGATTTGGTGAGCATGGGGATTATCCATGCCACGTAGACTTGTTATGTCTTGTTTTAAGTAGAGTTGTATTAATGTATCAGGATAATGTCCGGATTAGGTGATGTAATGTCGTGACTTAGATATTCACTTTATTATATATTGAGGTATTTCAGTAGATTTCTTATTGCAATTTACATTCAGGTGATATTTTATGAAATTGATTAAGTAATCAAGTTGGTAATTGATAATGACGTCATAATTGAAAAGAAAAAGAATATTCCGCATTTTTGATTAAGCGTAGCTTAATACGATGTAATGATAACACTACCAGATATATACGGGGTGTTACATTTTATGGTATCAGAGCGACGGTTCAAGGGAAAAGTCTGTATGTATTGCAATGATTAGGATGTTTGGTTGTGTCTGTTTTGTGTGTTTGCTCCATCGAGTATTATTATGATAATGCATATGTGATCACATTGCGTGGGCCTGATCAACTCATAATTTGTGTAACTTGTCCAGAGTCATGGTAAGACCCGGGAGAAATCGCGAGACTTCGGAGGATCAGCCTGATCCTGTCCTGGCTGCATTGGCTGAGATGCAGGCGGCCCGACAAGCCGACCAGGAGGCCATGAGAATGGCAAACCAGGCCATGCTGGACGCCGTCAGAGAGGCGAACAGGAATGCCACTGAGGACGTGTTGGAGGCCAACCGTCTAGCGAACATGACGATGTTTAGAGTCATGTTTGAGGAGATGAGGAATGGTCCTACTGTTGACCATGTTCCTCCGCCACCACCACCACCTCCACCCAGTCTGCAGGATGACTCTCAGAGTCAGATGGGTGATGGCAGTCACGTTGCAGGGGCCATGCAGACCGTCCCTATTTTTGTTGAGGATCGAGATGAGATCGATCGCCGGCTGAATGCTTTCCATAAGCATAAGCCACCTGCCTTTGATGGATCCTTTGATCCTGTTGCTGCGGCGCGTTGGCTACAGGCGTTGGACAAGATATTTCGGGTCATGCAGTGCACAGATCCGCAGAAGCTGATGTTCGCTACTTACATGCTGGAGGGCGATGCCCAGGAGTGGTGGACGAACACTTCTCACATTTACGAGATGCAGGGCCATAGGATGACATGGCCATTGTTCGAGGATTTCTTCTTGGTTCAGTACTTTCCGTATGACGCTCAGGAGAGCAGCAGGGAGAGTTTAACCGTTTGGTTCAGGGCTCGTTGTTTGTGGACGAGTACCTGGCCAAGTTCAACCAGTTGGTGAAGTTTGCACACTTCAGGAGAACCTGAAGACTCTCGTCGGACCACTTAAGATTCTCGATCGTAGCGAGAAGCAGCTGAGGAGCAAGATCATTCCAATGGTCAAAGTGCAATGGACCGGAAGAACTCTTGAGGAGTGTACTTGGGAGCGAGAGGACGAGCTTCTCCGACAGTACCCCGAGTTTCGATCAGGTATGTTTTCTGATTTTGAGGACAAAATCCTAAAAAGGTGGGGTGAATGTAAGAACCTGCACCGTTAAATAAGGAATTTAATTGATTAATTATGTTAAATTAAGAAATGATTCCATAATTGACCCTAATATTTATTAAGAGGCTTTAATAATTATGATAAGTGATTAAGAATGCTGAAAGTCGCTTTTCGGAAGAAAAGTGCAGATACTGGTTCTGCTAGTCGGTATAAATGAGTACCGAAAAAGTATCCCAGAAAATTATAATAAGTGCATGATAATTACTAGAATAATATATAGGACTTGTAAAACGAGTTTCAAGTCCAAATAATGAGAACTGGTGCCAGAAACTGATATTGGCTATGAAAAGCGCGTACCGAAAAGGTGCTCCAAAAATTATAATAAAAATATGATAAATCTTAGAAAATTGTGTAGTTTAAGAATCCGGAGTTTGGGATTAAAATGCTAAGCGTAGAAATTAAAGTTAATACTGTGTGTTTTATTTTAAAGTGGCTATATATACTAACTTAGCACAAAACCCTAGGCCATAATGCCTCTTCTACGTGAGTGTGTTGGCTGGTCAGTTTCCCCTCTTACTGTTCCATTGCATTTCTTCTCCATTCTTGAGCTTTGAGACCTTTTTCTTCTTGAAAGCTCCTCCTATACACTTGTGGTGAGTGAGAGTGTGCATTGGGAGGTTGTGGGAGACCTTGTTCTGAGTATTTGGAACTGTGTTGTGTTGGTAAGGAGGCTGAGTTGGTGGTTTGTTGCGTTGGAGCCTTGTTCTTGGTTGTTGAAGCTCCAAGTGTCAATCTTTGTGAAGAAAAATCATGTATTGAAAGCCATTTTCGTGTACCCTTTTGTGCCAGCACCTTGAGGCTGGTTTGGGAGCTCCAAGAGCATCCTTTTGCTGAGTTTAAGCTTGGGTAAGCTTCATCACCTTTGAACTTGAGTTTTGATTCTTAAAAATGGAACCTTGATGCATGTAAAGGTTAAAAGATGATAACCTAATATTGGGTAATGCTTAACACACCTAGAAATGCATGTGTTAGTGTCTAAAATCGGTAAAAACCCAACCTTTGAAGGATATCTTCGCGAAATGCAGAAACTGCATTCTGTCGCGAAATATCCGGATATTTGCCTGTGAAATATTCAGATATTGATATTCGCATATGGGGATCCAGATATTGATATCCGGATATGGGGATCTGGATATCCGGATATTGATATCCGGATATTGCCAGAGAGATATCCGGATATTGGATATCCGAATATGCCCCGAAGAATATCCAGATTATAACATCGCGTGAAAATTAGGAACTTACATAAATTACCGTTAGTATTGTAAATGCAAGTCTTGAATTCAAATCACTAACCTATAATTATGATGGGATAAATTTTAATAATATTGATTACATTATATGTAGAAACTTTAGTTACTACCTAATGGATACATGAAATAATGAATATTAGGAAAATTATTCTATGTACAATTATGAGTGAGTTTATATTTGGGGCATTCGAAACATTAGTTAAAAAGGTAAAATTAATATTAATTACTATGTATATAAATCTTAGTCAATACTTAGTGAACTACATGAAATAAGGGTCATAAAGAAAGGAAATTGGATCCCCTTACACTCTAGTCCTCGGCCCAAATACCCTTAGGTAGTGTTTGGTTCGGGAGAAATTTTTTTTTACGAGGGAAATGTAATTGATAGGAAAATGGTTGGAAAGTGAGTTTGATAGGAAAATGTAAAAAAAGTTGTTTGGTTGACCCAAATATTACCAGGAAAATTTATTTAAATATGCAAAATATATGTTCGGGAAAAACTTTGCACCTGTTTTTTCATTTTCCCAGTCATCTCAAAATACCACATCTCAAGTGGTATTCTGTGACAGTGAATTTCATCCAAAAATCAACATAAAAGTCATTTTTCCATCTATCCTTTTTGCCTGGTATTTCTTGAAAAAACCTGAACCAAACGTAGTATTTTTCAATATCCACCTACAGTTTCCCATCAATCCTAAAATAAACCTTCAACCAAACACTACCTTAGAGGAGGCTTGAGTTGGCCCAAGACTTGCAAACAATCCACTAATTTATCAAGAGAAATCTGAAAGCATGATTCTAATTGGTCTGAACCTGAATGCATGCAACCTTATTGGGTGAGCTCACATCCAATTCTGCCCACTCCTTCAGCCTCATGCACGCTTTTGATTGGTCACAAAACACACCTATTTTTCTCCTCCTCATCACGTGAGCGCACAGAGTAAGCAAAACAAAACTGATCTGTTTGTGGCACCGGTTTAGAACATTAACCAGACCATGATTCCCTTTCTTTCAATCTATTCGCATGATCCACTCAAAGAAAAATTAATAGACTACCTTGGATTCAGAAGTCAGAAGATGTACAAAACCGATCAGCCCTTGATTCTCCTCAAAACCGCAACCTTAATAGAGAAATAGCGCAGAGAAGATTGTAACCCAGACCTCGCTTCCTTAAACCGTGAACATAGATTTCAACTTGAGTTATTCCCCTTTCTTTTCCTCTGGTTCAGCGATGACAACCATCACCAAGGAGGTGAGGTATGCTCTTGCTGTTTTCTTGTTCCTTCTCTCTTGAGGCAGTTCTGATTGAGGCTTCCATTGCATGCACATGATCAAGCTGCGATAGAATTCGTCCTCCCATTGCATGCGGTTGGAACCTGTTCCTTGGAGCTTAGGATGAGTGTTAGGGCTGTTCCTTGATTGTTGGTGATTCAGTGTACGAATATAAGCATGTAAGTTGAGTTAAAATTCTCTTTTCCCTTCTCACTGTTTCGGCTAACATGTAATCCTTAAGAGATAAATTCTGTTTTGAAATCCTCCCACTAATTCTGTCTAAACCGTGACCCCATTACATGTATGATAAGATGATATAATTTTTGGGTGTTGTCCTGTTACTTTCCCTCCATCTTGTTCAGTCTGCGCAACTGTCCTAGGAAACTAGTTATGCCATCAAATTTTTTACTGCTCAGCCATATCACTGATGGTAATTTTGTACATGCCAGATGTATTAATTAATCTTGGGGAGCTTGGGAAAAATAATTCCTCTCGTTTTGATGGAGTGCCCCTAGACTAGAAAGATTTATTAGACTTTATATATAGGAAAAAGAAGATAGCTAAGACAGTATGCTGAGATTCGTTGTTCATGCCTACATGATGTAGTCGATGTTTTACTAAAAGCAAATCTTTAAGCACCTAAATCCTCTGCCTTTGATTCTGTCATTTGAGTAGCCCTATGACTTAATACATGAAAGCTAAAATCGAATTTCTGTGAATTTGGAAAATAGCCTTAATCACTTTATTAACTACCCCTGAACTAGGATTTTACCAAACGTAGTATGTAATAATAATAATCTATATGAACAGCCTGAGGCCTCCGGGGCGCACCCTTGACCTTGTAGATATTTGCATATGAATGCTGTATTGGTGGTATCTAGCTTTAATTGAATTAGAGAAATTGGACAGCATGTATTGAGCCTCTTTTTAGCGCACCATAGGCCATATAACGTTGAAAATATGAATAAACATCATTAGCCTTTTATAGTGTGAAAACCGAGTGTGCATGCATGTGTAAGTAATTTAGATTTTTGTCAATTAAGGACAGCTGGGGAATGAACTTTATGTCAGAAAATGTGTCTATTATATGAACTTGAAAGCCGAATGGTAATGCATGAGGGAACTTAAATTATTTCACTGTTCACAAATTGATGAACCACCTAAAGTCAGAAATTAATATAGTGTCGGAGTTGTGAAAGACCGATTACAGAATACGAACGAGAAGCATGAGAAATGTGGATAAATTATAGGAATAAAATGAAATAAATTCTGACTTGTTCCGCATGTAATTAGGTGCACGTAACTCTTATTGAGTGGGCTGACTTTTGGTGCTGTTGATTATTGCTTGGATGCAAGGTATGTGTTAGGCGGTATTACCTAATGTGACTATTAGCTAGAGTATGAAATTGTGATGTGTTGCTCACATATGCTCAATGTTATGTTATGATGATGATATGTCAATGGTAAGAATATGAAATGATGATAATGCTATGTGCATGCATATTTACATCATGATGCATTTTTCTGTTTGGTGTGTGACCGCATTTCTTGGCATGTATACATTAGATCCATGTAGGCTTTGAAATGTAGAATAGTTATATACAGGATCATGTGGATGAGCACGCATCATATAGGCATCCCTCGGTACCAGGGTATGGGACACTTGGCATCCGTCCGCATAGGTCACAATGGGATTCAATAAATGAGGGTGTCGTTGCATGGAATTCCCGCTGTGTATGCATGCGCACGACGGTGCTATGAGCGTGATGAAGGCGTTATATACGCATATGATATATGATGAAAAGGATATATGATGAAAAGGATTTCATGTTTGAAGCGACTGTTTATAATTTTGTGCCTAGTTTAATACTGTTGCATTATTGGTTTTGTTGCCACACTATTGAGATTTCTCTCACCCCTTTGGGGCTGCTATTTTTACAAAATGCCAGGAGGATGTAAAAGCTTTTGAGGACTTGGATATTTGCTGTTGGCTTCTACTGTTTTGGGCATGCTGCTATTGATGTGATATTTTATGGATGACTGTATGAAATTGAGAAGCTTTTATTACTGTGAACTATGATTTTATTATTGCATTACGATTTTATGACCAGCAAGTATTATGGAAACAGATGTTGAAACGTTTGCGAAAAGGATTTTGACATGTTATCTAAATGCTGAGTTTTGAAAAGTCTTTGCGAGCACTTTGTAAGTTGTCGTACTGGGGCTACGGACCTCCGATTTTCTTATAATTTATATGCACGCGTAGCCCCAAGTGTCTAGTTTCATTATATATAAACCTTGCAAAGAAATTCTGAAAGCTCGATTTATTATGAATTTTACCAGCCAGGACGTTTGTGACATTTTCACTGTTTTATCTCTTATTTTGCGAGTTATATTTCGTGGGGCAAACCAACTGCAAATAACTATTATTTTATATGAACGTGAAGCCCCAAATGTCTAGTTTCCAGATTACAAAGAATATGTTTTTGAATCGTTGAACTGGATTTTATACGAATTTTTAAACACAGCAAGGTCTATCAGGAAATTTATATTTTTAGTAAGTTTAAGAAATTTTGCGTATTCTGATTTTTGTAATTAACCAGATCCCCTCTTTAGTTTTAATTGGCAATGTAAAAGTGAATTTTTTCAGTCTCTAAAATACTATTAAAGAACTCTAATTCCGCTTAGCAAACAACTCTCTTGGAGGCCTACAAGAGAGGGTGTTACACAAATATTCTGGGATTTTGAAGAACAGTAGCTGTGTTGTGTGTACAGTAGGCTATTGGGAGTTTGTGGACCCTAGATTGATGAAGTTGAACTTCTGTAATTAATGAACTAAGTCAGAATCATGTGATTAAGGGCTTGTGGCTTTGTTGGGAGCCTTAAGACGTAAATCGTTAAAGGAGAACGTAGTCTTTATGTTAATGCTTTTGAGCTATGTATGTTGATACATTTGTTGGTCCTAAATCAGATTGTGATCTGCTGTGTGTTGGACTTGAGCTGTGAGGACTCTTGGCATTAGATAGTGAGCTTGCAAGGTAAGCTTTTGTGTCCTCGGTTTAGCCATGTTGTGGTTTCACCATGTCCCATGGGGGTATGGTTATATGCATGCTGTGTTACATGCTTTTGATGTTTTGGAAATGCTATTGAGCTGTTATATGCTAGTGCCTTTATGATATGCATGTGGTGTTCCACCTATACGGTAAGCCTGAGTATGTGGTACTTACAAGATGGTGAGGCTGTGGGTGATGTGCAAGCGGTGTTCCTTGTACTACATGTAGGTATAGACGTATTCCTGCATTTCTCTTGCCAGTAGAATAGTGATAAACACACATGGCATGAATATCTGTTGCACTGCATAGTTTTGGAACTGATATTGATATAAATGCTTTTAGAACTTATATTGCACATGTAAGTGAGCTTGGGGTGGAAGATCCTTGAGGACCCCCGTGTCTTATTGAGATTTCTAGTTTAGAGATCTCACCCCACGTTTGGGGAATGCTTATTTCAGGATCAGGTAATGTTGGGGTTGAGACCTCAGGCGGCAGGAGGCTGGAGCTGAGTTAGATATTGATGATATTATATGCTGACATGTTGGATGCTGGATATGCTTGCTGTTTTTCTGCTTTTAGCTTCATGTTATGATTTTGGATTATCTTGTTGAGACTATGTCGTTTATGCTGTTGATTTGGTGAGCATGGGGATTGTCCATGCCACGTAGACTTGTTATGTCTTGTTTTAAGTAGAGTTGTATTAATGTATCAGGATAATGTCCGGATTACGTGATGTAATGCCGTGACTTAGATACTCACTTTATTATATATTGAGGTATTTTAGTAGATGTCTTATTGCAATTTACATTCAGGTGATATTTTATGAAATTGATTAAGTAATCAAGTTGGTAATTGATAACGACGTCATAATTGAAAAGAAAAAGAATATTTTGCATTTTTGATTAAGCGTAGCTTAATACGATGTGAAATGGAAAAACAAAATTTTTCTTATGCGAAATCACACATGCAATCAAGAATCATGCTTTATGACAGTATGATGTTACCTTTGTTTGTGAGTTCAAAACTCCAAGACGATCAGTGTTAGGTTTGAAGGGTTCAAACCCTCTAACGTTGATCCACACCACCCACGTCAAGATGCAAGAACTCTTCTTGTCAAGCCACCAATTGACCACCACAAAGAGGCTTGCTATGCGCTCAATAGATGAAGAAGGAGGCTAGGTAAATATGTTTAGAAGAGTGAAGTCTTCAGCATGAAAACTTCACATGTGTGGGGAATGGATTGGAGTAGAATTGGCTAGGTCTTTTTCTGAAAACCTTAAGGAGAACTTACCCCTAGTATACGCACAAGAGAGTGAGAGAGTGAGAGAAATCAAATCAGAATTTTCACTTAAAAAACCAATGAAAGTGGCGCACAAGAGAGGAGAAAAATGTGGAGTTGTTGCAATTCAAAATTCCTAACAACCTACCTTTGAATCCTCATGAGACTAGGTCTCTATCTAGTCAAGATTCTGAACTAATGGTCATCATATGACCATCCTATTCATGTGCCCCATTCAGCCCCAAAAGGGGTCCAGATACTTTGAGTTGTTGCATTCAAGTTTGAACCAACTAGCTCACTGATTCTCTCAACAACCAAATCTGATTGGAGCTTGTTTGTTTGAAAAATATGACACTCATCTCCAACCAAAGTGGCGCCCCAAATCAGCCTTTGGAAATCTCCATAGATCTTCTCTTGCTATTAGGGGTGTCAAAACGGGTCGACACGACACGAATTCGACACGACACAAATACATCAACACTAACACGACACAAATTTTTATTCGTGTCAAAATCTTCAACACTGACACGACACGAATTTTTTGCGGGTTGACACGACACGAATAACACGCAAAATAAGGGTCAAAATGGTAATTGACAAAAAAAATTTTAAAAAATGGATCGATATTAAAAAAAAATTAAAAAAATAATAATAAAAAATTAAAAATAAAATAATTTAAAAAAAATACGGGTCGACACGAACACGAATACATCAACACTAACACGACACGAATTTTTTACGTGTCATTTTTCCCAACACGAACACGACACGAATTTTTTTGCGGGTCAACCCCGACACGAATTTTCGTGTCGTGTCGCGGGTCGACCCGCGTGTCAGAACCTATATTGACACCCCTACTTGCTACAAGAAATTTGTTCCAACAAGATCTCATCTTATCCTTTTGTTATGAAACAACTTTTCATAGCCAATTCAAATTCGAATTCAAACATTTAAATTCAAATGTTCAAACATTTAAATTCTAAATTCAAATTCAAATTTCAAATTCAAATTTCAAATTTCAAATTTCAAAATTCAAATTTAAAATTCAAATTTCAAAATTCAAAATTCGAATTTCAAAATTCAAATTCAAAATTCAAAATTCAAATTCAAAATTCAAAATTTAAATATTTGATAATTAATTTAACTAATTAAATTAATTAGTAATGTCTTGGACCATTCAAGCCCATTAACTATACCATGCGTCCTCTCCCTCTTAGGTGGGCTTCCAAACTTCATCTTGGGCTAACAACCATTATTAGGCCCAATACCTCTAATGCTAGATCATCATGACAATAAGGTGTTAGTGTGTGACCCATTAGGTCCAACATAACCACTGACATAAATGAGCTTGGGCCCAATAACCCAACAACCCATTTAATGACAACACAGAGCACTAGCAATGCTTTGTTGCCCCAGAGCTAGTTAGATTAATGACTTGATCATCCTATTACATATATTTGGTTGCCGTATATATTTCCTTTTGTCTCGGTTACCTTCCCATTAAACCTAGGGTAAGGAAACGTATCAACCCTTGCGGTTTAGGGTAAGCTTATTCAAAATAGGGAATCTTCAATTTACCGACTCTAAAGGCAGATTATCTAATGATCTCTTTTACTATGCATAGATTCCCGAGTCCCTGTAAATGTCATCTCGATTTCTCCGGTTTACAGATAACCTAATCTCTCACAGAGATTTGACGAATTCCTTCAGCTTATCACCCTAGCCTTGTTCTCTTTCAGGACAAGCCCAACAGTGTACCTATGAGTCTCCATGTTTCAGGCAGACGAGGTATACAATCAAAGCATGCCTTCTATAACACAGTCTAGGTAATAACTTCTGGTCTAAGGAAAGACATACCCAAATATAAAGAGACTACTCTAATGATACTATCTGTGAGATTTCCTCATAGAGTCTCTTTGTGGGTCTGTTCAGTGCGAGTTATACCCTTATAGGTCCACCCACGACTTTAACTAAGACATCTCCATATCTGTAGCACATGAGGTCTTTACCTTGTATCCAAATACAAGTAGATAAGTCGTGCTAGTCTTACCGAGATCACTGATCCCCATTCTCAGTGTCTCTACACTAGGAACATAAAATTAGGAATAAACGTGCGGTATCCTTGAATCCTCATGATCGTGATCTCATCACAGATACTCAAGAGATACCTGTTATATTCCAAGGGGTTTATCCAATTACTCATATAAAATATTAATAATAATATTGAGACAAAATATGAAACAGGATAAAAAGTGCTTTTATTTATTTGCGACAATATAAAAGGTCCACATATGTCCTAATCTAATCAAAAGATTGTCTCTAGGACATCCATATTCTAACAAGGATGTGGAAGGTCAGTTGGTGCACATTCATAATGGAAGGGTAATGATGAAAGCCATCATTAAACGCATCACTACTGTAGTCAGTGACCTCCTAAAAGAAGCTCAAAAATGGCTCCCTAAAGCTGAACTAAAAAAGTTGCAGAAACAGCTGCGAAGGAGACCATTAACACAAGAGGAGATTGATGAGAAGAGGGATGAAGAGAAGAACAGAAGCCTAGAGAAGAGGCCACCACAATGAAGGGAGGAAAACCCTCTTTTTTATTACATTTTGTTATTACCTTTACTGCAATTTTCAATTTCTTTTATTTTTTGTTCCTGATGTGCCTCTGGCAAGTGTGATTTTCTGTGTTAAAATTGATAAGAATTGAGTCATACTAGAGCAATTTAAATATATATTTGCTAATTATATTGATTCTTTCTAATCCAATAATATTTCTCACATATTAGTTGTGTTTATACAGGAAATAGGAGTGAAAATTACAAATTATAAAAAGCCTGTAGACGCGACTCCACACAAATGTATCACAGTACAATGGACAGCAACATGGCGCCAACTGGCGCCATTATGGCGCCAACCGGCAGTTCATGAAAGAATTAAAAAAGCACAGTGGAGTGGCGCCCAATGGCGCCAACTGGCGCCACATTCATCACCAAAATTCCACGTCACCTTGTGCCCAAAATAAAGAAAGAATGGCGCCAACTGGCGCCACTTTACGTGAAAGTTGTTCCGACTTTTCTGAATTGGATAGAGGCGTGGCGCAAACGTGCACCAAACCGGCGCCAATTGGCGTCGGTGTGCGGGAAAATAATACCGCGTTGTCCTGGGGGTATTTTTGGAAGAAGGAAAAGACGATTATAAATTGGATCCCTATGACAGAATTAGGTATTCAGACCTATTCTTCTGAAGAGAGACGACGACGGTGCTCAGAGAGGATTCCTGGGATCAAGTTCTTCTTCTACCTTCTTTTTAATTTTATGCTTTCATTGAATATTGGATTTTTAGCCATGATTATGTTTGGCTAGTTTACTTTTTATTGTAGTTAGGGTCACAAACCCTATGTGAACCCTTGTTACGCGGATTGATTTATAATTGCTCGTTTATATAATTATCTTTATCTCTACCCTGTTCGTATTTTATATTTTCTTTATTAGAATTGATCACTCTAATAGTTGATAATAGTCTGAGGGTTAGAACCCTAGATAGGAATATTGAGGGTTTCATCCTGAAAGGGGTAGGATAACGGTTCGTATGCATGCTAGAAATAGATGTGTATTGAATTGCG